GAAATCATAATTTTACTACGTTGGAATTCAGTAGCATACAGAAGAGTCGTTCTCTGACCTGTTTTCCTTTCATTTCCATCAAAATCCAATTTACAGTCATAGTCCTATCCCACAAACTCAGTAAGATTTCCTTCCATTAAATAAAGAAAAACAATATCCCTACCTTACTGTCACGATTTGTTATCTTCACCAAACTTCAAAAAAGCAGTACTCAAGCTCTTTTCTAAGTTTCTGACAAAAAAAAAAACTGCTTTTAAGTTTTAATAACAAATATGAATTGCTCAAATGATAATAGAGATGAATTGTCAATTTAGACGTTTTAAATTCAAATCTTGACAACTTTTTAATACCTAAGTTCTGGTGTAGATAATATGTTTTTAATCGGACCAAAAAAAAAATTAGCTAAAATATGCATAAATTAATTTAAATACTCTTAACCTTTGACTAAAAAATAAAATCCCAATAACTTCCCTGTAAAACTCTTGTCAAATTCACAGTGACAGCCCCAAAAGACCAGTGAGATTTCCTTAGTTCCATTAACTACCCCTCCCCCTTTAATCTTCCATTATACTACTTTACTAGCCTATGACCGGTTTATTGGGAACCACATAATTATTATAACGTTCTATTTTATTTTTAAATTAAAAGATAACTTAAAAAATAAATGATGGGTCTCTTGAGGCAAAGAAGGCCCAGGTGATACCCACTGGCGCCACACCCATCAGCAACTCTCTCTCTCTCCCAACCCCCTTATAAATAGTAACCCACCATTCTCATTCTCATCATTAATCTCAATACCCACTGCTCTTGACTTTGTTCTCTCTTTTCTTTGTGTGACCAAAAGCAAAACTCAAAGAAAAGAAGAGATTTTCTTTAAGTACTTTAATCCCAAGTTTCTTGTACTTTCAATGGCCACTGCTACAGCTTCACCTCCACAGTTCTTCTGGGATGAGAAGTGGAAGCTGTCAAAGAAAGAAAGCTTCTCAAGAAGTCGTTCTTCAACTTCTTCTTTCATGAGGAATTCATCACATCGAAGGAGTTCTTTTACAAGGAAGTGTGCTAGCCTTGTGAAGGAACAGAGAGCCAAGTTTTACATCATGAGGCGCTGTGTCACCATGCTCATCTGTTGGCGTGATTCTTGAAGAGAAAGAAATGAAGAGTTAAGACTCTTTCTTTCTGCGAGATTGTTAATGGGTTTGCTCTAGAAACCCTAATTAAAGGTTTTCCAGCGTCCGAGGAGGAAGAGAAAGAGAAAGATACTGTATCAACATGTACATCTTTTCTTTTTTCTGGGTTTCGATTTTTTCGGGTCCGAATCTCCATTGAAGGAGGCGAGGGTTCTTGATGTAACTGTTACCGTTACTGTTAGTGAGACTAGAAGAGATATGCAAGATTTATAAGAAAATGATTGATCAATCGATTTTTCCCCACTCATATATTGATTAATTTTTCTCCTGGGTTTTGTTGTTCTTGATGATTAATTCGATGGATCTGTCTTTGTCCAACTATCTATAGAGAGAGAGAGAGAGAGAGAGAGAGAGATTCCATTCAACCATTGCCCATGCAGAAGTGTGTGGATCCGGTGAGCTTGGCTGACGCAGATAATATTGTAGTATAAAATAAGTAGTCAAACATCACCGAGAGTCTTTTGGAATTATTTTTTTCGAGGATAATGATAATAATCCAAAAATACTGTTGTTTTTTAGGTTTTACCAGGAGTAACCGTGCTTTTAGACACGCTTCGATTATTTTGAGAGGGTTGATGTTATTTAATGTGAATGGTTTTGATAGGGATGTTGGTGATTGTTGAATGAATTTATTTATAATCGTCAAATAAATTTATTAAAATTTTATCTTATTTTATATTATAAATTGTTACTGTCTATGGAATGAATTCAAATTTAATTTTAATTGATTCGAATTTTAAAAATTTTAATCTAAATACTCTTGAATTTAAAAAATTTTAATCTAAATATTCGATTGGTTTTGGTTTTAATTTTATTTTTTCTATATAATCTATGGAGAATTATGATTTTTATCTAAATAATTTAATTAGAGTTAAATATTAATGAATTATATTTGAACTTTAATTTAATTTTATCAAATAATCACACAATTTAATTTTATATTATTTGACTCAAAATCTCAGTGTGTATTGATATATAAGAATTTGAAATCACAAAGAAACATGATATAACAAATTTGTGTTTGAATTCACATAATCAATTAAAAGTAACAGTTTCCATTTTAGATCAAAATAAGACCAAAAAAAAAATAATTTTGACCCGATTCATTTGAATAAGTTAAGATTAAAACCCGATTCATTTGTCATGCCTAATTTCTAGACGTGGGATCAACAAAGAGGGGCAATGGCTACCCAATTGATTGGCTGCTTGTCCTCTTCTGTTCTTTAGCCTACCGTTGACAAATAACTTCAATTTAAAATCTCAAACTCCTAATTGCTCTTTTTAGTACAATTTTTTTTTTTATTTAACGGTTAAGGGTGTTTGAATTAATATATACACATCTCGACTAATCTTCTCTCCAGTCTACTCAAAAATAGAATATTAATGAGAGATAAATAATTCATTGACTGACCCTAAAAAATTATCAAAATTTAAATTTAAGATATCTAGATTTAGAACTTGTACTTATTATTACTTGAACAATCTCTTGGATCTTAATTTGAAAATTCAATTAAGAGTTTAATGCAATAAAATTATTGAATTAATTATGATTTAAATAATAAATAAAGTTTATTTTTAATCTAATAATTATAATTAATCAAATTAAGTGTTCAAATTAAATTTATTTAACATTTTCCGTTTTCAAATGGTTCAAAAGAGCAGCGACGTGAAACGCCTATGCGCATATACTCCACGTGGCATCTCTAGTTGTCTCTGAAACCTTCTAGTCCGTTGGTCACATGGCCAATGTCTGGAGGACCCACCCGCACATGGAGGTCTCATTGTGGTGGGTCCCTTTTTGTTTTTCAATTTGATTATTTAACAAGTTTTTTTTTTTGGCTTTTTCTTCAACATTTGAGAATTATGCTTAAGCAACTAGGAAGTGAACAAGAGAGGGCTGGGCTAGGCCTGGAAATAAGTTGGGTATTTAATTATATTTCTGTTATAATTATTTAATCTTTTTTTATCTATTTATAATGAGTGAGTTCTTATTGTATTTAATTAAGTTCATACGAATCCACCTATTTGATGAATTAAACGAATTCATGAATCAAACTCACTAATGTTAAATTTGAATTTGTTAATTTTATGTCACATGTTTTAGTCAGATCCGCGTCTTATATTTGTAGTAGCCTATAAAATGAAAACATGTGTTCTCATCACATAAGGACAAATGGCAAGGCTAAAGTAGGACCACAAGTTGTGTCTATGCCCTCGAATGGCATCGGAGGATGTACCCCTAGCCTCGAGGAATGAGTCCAAGCTATATTGAAGGAGACGTTGCATCTATCTAATTAATGCTCGAGCCCCCTGACGTGTAGTGAGTGGCCATTGGTATAGTTGCTATTAAGGCAGTTATAAGTGAGCATAATTGTCACATACGGCATTGAACCGGCATAGAGGCAGACACATGCAGCTTGTAGGGCAGCCTCAACTGCCCTAGTACGTGTGTGCTATAAATACTTTTATTATTTGTTCCTATAGTACACACAACAAACATGTTGTGTGTACTATATGTTCTTATAGTACACACAACAAACATGTCTGAGATAGACATTTCGGCGAGTACGAGAATACTCACTAACTCTAACTATCCGGGAAATTTTTTACTCACCGATTGGTTTTGGCAGTTAATAGAAAATTCAAGTCTTTTTATTCCATCCATCTATCTTACTTATCTTTTTGAGTACACTGGTTTCAAACATATGTGTCGGCCTCTTTAACTCCCTACTTGCAATGTTTAAAATTATCAACCTAACTTTCTAGAAAAATAATTATAAAAAAATTCCAAACTAAGGATGGATCAATTGGTCTTGGCGCTGCTGTGGCCTCCTGGGAGGTCTTACCAAACGGGTGTTCACGAGTTCAACATCATTGACAAACCTGTCCAACGTTATTATCCTGTAATTATCCAGCATATGCGAAACTCGAAGACTATGCGTTAAGGATAATTAGTAAGACGTCTCGAGCAAATCAAAGACCTAATTAATACATTACAGAAATAAATGAAAAAAAAAAAAAAACTCGACAGTGTGACAAAAGAGGCTGTGTCAGTTATTGGGGAGGGACATCCTACTCATAATCTCCTAAGACATGATAATCTTGTAACCATGTAAGACATGATGTCACAATCTTATGGCAGAGGAATGAGGAGGCAAAAAGGGATAATAAAACAAAGGGAACGTCTGTAGCTTTTATGTGACTGCTGGTTTGTTGAGGCAGCTCTAACTCTTAGGCCAGCCTATTGAATCGGGTTTAAATCGGTTTGTAATTAATTCAAATACAATTAAAAAAATTAATCCAAATTATTTAATTTCATCATAAACTTTGATATATCCAAATTTAAATTTACAAATTCAATTTTGAAACTAAATTATCAATAAAAAATATAAATCCACATCTACTTGATTGAATTTAAGTTCAGGTCAAAATCGAATCGAATTACTTTTTGGATGCTCGTCGGCTGCTTTAGAGTGCCAGTGAATTTAGGTCATCAAATTTGATTTCAGAAAGAAAAGAAACAAACATTCAGAAGAGAAGATCTTTCGAGAGAATTAGTAACTCAATTCAGTAGAATTTTGCATTGCGTCTTTCTAATAAGTTTCCACAAGTCCCCATCTTAAACTCACCACTGCTGCCTATGTCAAGGACCAGTATAAAATCAAAGACAAAGCAAGCATCTCTCCCTCCCCCTCCCCCTCCCCCTCCCCCTCCCCCTCCCCCTCCCCCTCGGGGATGCCGAATAGTCGGTTTAGTTTACACTTGGATGTATATATAAGCTATAAATTCTGATGCCTGGCAGTATCCAACTCATTACACCATGTAAGATGCATCCATATCTGTAAGTCCATTCTCATGCCATCCTGACCCAGCCTTGAATTTACAAACAGGGCATGTCCCCTGCTGCCGGAGCCACGGGTCAATGCAATTAGCATGGAACTGCAAAATACACGGATTATTAAGGTAACAATATTATGACATGCCTTTTAATACAAACATTATTTTCAATTAAAAAAAAAAATCCTTTTCTACTTTATTTTATTTTTTTTGCAAGGTCAATATGCCGATATGGTATGAACATCGTTATACCTCCACACTTTTTCTATATAGGGTGGGGGTGATGCGGTTTTGACCATGTAAATAAAAAGACAAACCCATAAAATTGAACTTTATAAAAACTATTTCAGCTCACTTATTCTCAAGGGAAGATCTGAAATTACCTCAGGATTGTTGGCAGATTTATCACAGAATAATTAACCGGTGAATGCATTAACAAGAAGAAAACTAGTTCATATCCATTCAAACATAAGCCACATGTACTTACGTCTACAGATTTAGTTATTTGTAGCACAGCTATTCAATGAGTGTCTGCTAGCATATATCTAACGAAATGCGCCCCCCCCCCCCCCCCCCCCCCCCCCCCCGCAACAAAAAAAAAAAAGGACTAGACTAGCAATAGTTGGATCACATAATAAGGCCTTGTACAGTTGGACGGATTCTTTGTGGTGCATATGTAAAACAAATGTCAATATGCAACTACTTTCTACTGCCAGAAAATGAATGTTCAAAAAGACGAGATAAGAGTAAAAATCACTGCAAGAGAGAGAACAAACCTGATGCAAGCATGGCAAGCTACGGATAAGTTCTGCCACATTAACTTGCTCCAAGCAAACACTGCAAGTCAGATCATCGTCCGAGGCTTTTATGCTCCCATTGATAGTCTCTTGCTTCTTCTGCTTAAATAAAAAAAGAAGGGAAAGAGCAAATAATGGCACTTTCCAGTTATGAAACAACAAAGTAGGAAGCAAAATAAAAGAGCACGTCACATGCAAATACATAATTTTGAGTCTCGTGGCACAGTGGAACAACTGCCAGACATCCCAAAACTGCTCAGCACAGCACTAAAAGACACAATTCAGTTGTGCCACAAGTGTTGCCTAAGGGCCACCAGCAAATAAGTACCACATGGATGCCTCATCGGCTATGAATATATAACAATAATCTACATAAATACATATGATGCAATTCAAATTAGGGTAATGCATCCGACACAATGCAACCAAGTTATAAACTAAGACAAACATACTATTATCTCTAAGAGCCCCATATATCTAGAATCAGACTTTGACACAAAGAGACATGTTCCAAATATTGCATAAAAAATCTCTACATGCAATAGACTGGAAAAAGTTTATTCTACATTTGGGGCCACATATTCCGTCAATTTGTTTACAACAAGCCAGCTTGTGTGGTACACCCCACTGGCACAATCATCCAAGGTATACAAATCTGGGCCATACCAAGTGAGTCATAGTACCATTCAATGCACTGCTGGAAATAGAATGATCAATTCCTTTGATTCTGCCTACTTATGGTGATTAATATATTTCTCATAGATAGGGGGCAGAATGTTATTATCTACTTGCTTAAACTTGCAAAGAGCCTATCATCCTTCTTTTTTCTTCCCTCTGCTGATACAAATAAGAACTTACGATGCAACAAATGCAAAGATGACCTCAACATAACTTCAAATCACTCGAGCTAGTGGAACTAGAGTTCATTCAATATTTAACCTTACGTAAAATTTGCAATGATTCCTTACAGAACATCTCAAGAATAGAACATCTGACAATCCGTCCATAGATATGTGGTTTCAAAGATGATGAACTACTACAAAAAACTGACATGCTTGGAACTTCTCTATTACATATGTTTCAAATGAATTAATGAGACAGCTACTATTTCTACCACAGAACCCTAATCGATACCTCAATTTTAATAGCAGTTACATTGTAAATATTGGAAATTTTAGTCTATCGGGTCCACCCCAAACTAAAATACATAATATAGTTCAACAAGTCATTAAACATAGAAAACAGTAACATCACACATATTCAATATGAAAGAATTTTGGTGCAGAATGACCTTTCAACTTGTAATAAAAGCGTGGTCATAATTTGAAATTAAACCAATAACAGGTAAACAGAACTCGTGTGATGCAGACTGATCATGCCTCATGCACAATATAGGAAGAAAAATATATGCGTAATTGACTATATCCGAATGATAGGGATGAAATAACTTAGAAATAGCTTTTAGACAAATAGCTTTGCTAAAACATCATTTGATAGTTGACTCATTTTAGAGCACCAATAAAGGAAGAAAGAATACCTCAGCTATCGCTGAAGATGAAGCCTGGTGCATTGGTGAGCCAGTACTGTTAAGAAAACCAGCACAAAGATACATTATGCCCAAGGAGATTGTACACAACTGTATAGGTGCATTATATATTGATTCCTAAACCTAGACAAAACTACTATACACACCAATTGCTGCTTAGAAAATAGTAAAAATTGAAGTCGAGTCCTCCTTAAGGAACTTATAATGACTTGAGTCCATTAAGGACACTTATTTGGTTATAAGTCCATTTTTTATCTTACTAATAAGTAATTAAGTCCAAATTTTTTTGAAACCTCTAAAACACCCATCATATAATGTTTCAATAGTATTAAATGTTAATTTTGCTTCCTAATTGGGAAACGCTTAGATTCTTTACCCCTTAATTCTACCATTAATTCAAGTTTATAAATTTTTTTTCATAAAATTTGAAATTCAAATTCAAGAGTTCATTTTCTTGTTCTTGCCAATAGAAAACCTAGAAGGAATCTTCTTCCCCATGCCGCAAGCCGTCATATTATTCAAATTCATCCCTGTTGAAATGTTACGGTCACAGTGGTAATGCTCAAATCCTTTGATTTGAGCAACAGAGTCACCAATGCCACATGGCATGAGTCCATGGCCAGCAAAGAAAATCCAGTGGCCGAGCAGTCGAAGTTGACATCATTCACCAAATCCTTGATGGCCTTCATAACTTTTTTTGAGAGACTTGTTCAGTGGAACCAACACACCACTTCCACCAGAATCATCTTTTCTCTCTCTCTCTTTATATATATATATATATATATATATATATTTACCATGTTACTATTTTTGTGAACATATTACTGTTTTTATTGATCATATTACTATTGCTATTTTCTCAAATATTAATACTCAATGTTATTATTTTTTTATTTTTGAATATTATTATTTTTTTATGTTTAAATGTTACTACTTTTTTGTGTTTAAATAGTACTATTTTTTACGTTTAAATGTTATTATATGTATGTATGTATATATATGTGTGTGTGTGTGTGTGTGTGTGTGTGTGTGTATATATGTATATGAGAGAGGAATAAATAGTCTTATTCTATATATGGATATAGATAGACATGAGAGAGAGAATTTTAATGTTAGTCAAACTCTTAATTAGTTTTCAAATTTGTTTTAATTAAATATAACTACTAAGGGTATTTTGAACAATGGAGAGCAAAATGGACCGAATATTAAACAAGTTTTCTTGATGGACTTATCACTAAATAAGTCCACAAAGGGGGACCGGCCTCCAAATTTCCTTAGAAAATATTATGTTTAGATTACATCCAGAGCTTATGGGGCAACACTTATGTAGTTTTAAGATTCACTCTGCCTTCTTAACTTTTTGTTTAGTTGTCGCATGAAAATTACACTTCCTGCAAGCTCCTCAAGATTTTGATTAATCCAAAGAGATCAAAAAGAAGTTAAGCAAATTATACACCAAAAGAAAATCTGATGCTGCCTGGGTTTCAAGACAATGAGACACTCTGCATGCACCATGGTAAGGAGCAAATACATAGACCAACAAAATGAAATGATTTTGGAGCCTCTCTCTCTCTCTCTCTCTCTCTCTCTCTCTCACACACACACACACACACACACACACATGGAAGCCCGCATGCGCATGTGAGAGGCCATGATAAATATAGACTCGGTACAACCATTGCGGATGGTATGCCTTTGCTGTAAGAGGAAAATGGTTTGCATGAACTTTTGCCTGGGCAATTACACTTCATTGTTTTGGTTCCCCTAGGATTCTTTACACTGTCACATTGGGGAACAAAAATTAAAATTCCACAATAAGGCCAAAAAAAATGGTTTTTTATTTCAAAAAGTAACAAAAAAACTGAATCTTGATCGATGCAACCTTGCATGTCATGTAGGTTGATTGAAGCATACTTTTTCTTGCAGAAAAGCTTCAAAATTTCTAATAATATAATCATCTAAATAGAAATAAACACCGCAATAATCAATTTAAGAGAGAGAATAAATTCATGGGTGACAAAAGGATTAAGATGGGGATAAGAAAAATGGCCTATGCTGCAAATGGAATTAACCAGACAAAAAGTTGAATGAAATGGACAACGAACTGAAAAACATGTCAACATTTTAAGCTTCCAAAAGTAGAAGAAAAACAATTCATAATTGTCTGCAATTCAATGATGATGTGCGGTACACTCCAGCATAAAAAAAGAATAGAAATGCACTCAATCCTGCTGCATAGCTTTGCAGGAACAAATGAAAGCACTACCAAAAAATATAGATAACAAGCAAACCCTCATAACTAACCTTTGAGGGCCAGCAACCTTGTATTTATGAACTGGAAGAGAATTTATCTCTTCCTCAGTCATTGAAGTAGCTGTGGGAACATTATCGGCATCCAGTGCTCTCAAAGTTTCATAATCTGCTTGTAAAAGTAGATTACAATTATAAACTCCTTTCTAACTGTACATGCTAGGGACATTCAAAACAAAATCAATTGGCAATGGGTGGATAGGAAACGCCACAAGGCTCATGTAGTAGTTTGGGAGATGTTATTTTATCATCGTGGAATAAGTGCTAACAGTCCTCTGCACATGCATCCCACTCGGACATAGAGATAAACCAAAAACCAAAAACGATTTCGACATAACAAGTGCATGTATGACACGAACAAAAGGGGAATCAATTGAAAAAAAGATGAAATTGAAACTTATTCAAAATCTCTAAAAGCCTCACTTTGATACCATGTTACAACATATTGGAACACCCTAAAAAGCAACGATACAGATATGAATACGGGAAGTTGGAAACTATACAATATGGACACATCAATACAGAAAAACCTCAAATATTAGGATACAGATCGGGATAGGGTACGTCTATAATAAAACATATTTATTATTCTTACTTTGTTTGCGATTGGTTAATCATAATTCTTAGTAAATTCTTTAATAGAAATTAAAAAATAAACAATTTACTTTCAAAGAAGCATAGATTGTCTTAGGGCACTATCTATCTGGTAGTCTTATCCTGTGCCACAATAGAACGATATCTCACACCTCCCAAAGAAAAATATTTTGGCACTATCTGTCTGGTAGTCAACAAGCAAACATGATTAACAAATTAGGAAAAAGAGAACAAGATTTTATATCCATAATCTGGGTAAACTGCACCAGATAAGATTTCCATACATCATACCTAAATCATCAAATTCCCGGTCAAGAAGTGCAAGTTGGAGCCTAAGACCTTGCAATCGACCTCTTGTTGCAAGTGTTATGGATGGTGGCATATGCAACCGCAACTCAGTGTGACCAAGAAGGCCACTTGCTGCAACTGCATGAGCTTGGGCCTGTGCTTGCAGTTGCTGACAAGTTGCATACATCCTAAGGCTTGTTGCCATCAAAAAGACACCAAGTACCAGCCAGAGCTACAAACATAGATTTGGGCAAAAGCCTGTTAAATTGCTTATGTAATAAATACTATTTCACAATATTAGCTAGAAGATTGATTTGCAGGAATGCCATATTTGTTAAGAGAATACCAGAAAATTAGGTGACAATTGGTGTGAGTTTAGGATCATGAACAGCAACAGAACTGTTAAATCAAACAAAGAATTACAAGTTGTAGTATATGGGAACAAAAAATTTTTGTAACAAAAGCACAATAAAGACCAAAAGTTAAGGAAGTACTGGAATTCTAGCGTACCTGTGACTAGAAAAGCAAGTGAGTTGGTATTAACTGGTCGAGCTGCATGAACACGCTGATGGAAAGCAGAAACATAACATACATATTATTAGATTAACTGAAAGACTATAAAAACGAATTCCAGAGCATCGTAGACTGAAAACATATACAATATCATAAGTAATGTTACAGAAGATTAGGAAAACACCACAGCACGCCTCTCAGGAATAAATCCTGGAAATCCAGATTCTACATCTGCTCTAGTCCCTCGGAAAACAAAGCTCATGGTTTTCGAGTGTTACAGATATTTTAACAGTAAAAAAAATTATCTCAGAAGGTCCCAGGGAAATTAATCCGCTCGTACATAAATCAATAATCTGCAGAGTCAAAAAAGAAGGAAATGAGTAAGATATTAGGACCGTAGCTCCCTACAGCATCATATCTGAAGCTAGGAATCACGGATACGGATACGAGATACAAATACGATATGATACGAATACACCAAAATATTAAAAAATAGGATACGAGTACGGCCACAATACATCTATAAAAACCTATATCTTACATTTATACTATTATGTAATGACTTGATAGCTATAATTTTTAATGATTCTGTAATAATAATAAACAACATTAACAATTTCTATTTAAAAAAATCCACATATTGTCACACTATAGTACATCTACAAAATGAACGTGATTAATTAAATGAATAAGAACCAACATTTAACTAGATTATTTGTTTAACAGAGTTTGTTGCGAAGATTATAGTATAATCAACTCATTGATACTCTTTGAACATGTGATAATGAATAATACTTGGAAAACATTCATGTGTCTTCAAAGTCAAATGGATTGTTGTTGTGTATTGCATTATTTGTGAAAATCAAAAGACATGAGTAAAGATTAAAACTAAAAATTACACATACTTGTATGTATATAGAAGTATCGGCGAATATCCACATATTTTATTTATTTTTGAATACGTTTAGTGTGTATTCGATACGTATCATCGAATATCCGACGAGTATTGTATCCAATACAGTATCCGATATGGATACGTCGACCTTAACAAAGTATCCGTGCTTTATAGATCTGAAGGTAAGAGAAATTGGTAAGTGATATGCTATAAGAGACATCTTTCCTTGTAAATATGAAAGAAGTAAACATTGTATCTGCACAATCATTTGCAATGCCCATTAACTACACCCTTGAGAGCACCAGAAATTAAAACTGTCTCCCATTTTAATCCATCGTGTTAAATCTTAGAAGTCTAATGGCTATAAAGACTCAAAACAAAATCTGAAACAAAAAAGGACAGTTGGCAACCCTACTCAAGGAAATGTACAGATAACAGGGGTAAAATAATGAACATAATAATCATTAGCAATGTGGTAGCTCTTCCCCTTAGTTTTCCACAAGAGGGTAAAATCTTTCAATAAGACTCATAAATAGAAAAGTTAAAATCATATACCAAGACGCCCCCAGACCCGAGACTTAATTGACAGTGATAGTATATCTTAAAAAAATTAATTGCAAAAAGGATGAACATGCAATACACTACGCACAACCGATCCCACTATCCTCTTGACATTCTATAAACCAACAATGAGTTTTAACTTCACCAACTCAATTGCCATTTCAATTCACTTTTGGGAACTCTTGCTCAGGCCTTGGGACATAGGAGGCAGCACACCACCTAATAGTTATTAACTGAATCATCAGCCATTACACCTTTTCTCACTAATCCAATCAGGACTTGTTAGTGGTGTATTGTTGGTCTTTGTAGCATACACTTAAAAACAAACAAACCCGTGCACACACGAACACACTGTGGAAGTGGAAAAATGGCAATATTTATCAATGAGGTCAATTTCTCTATGCTATAAATGGGGTAATAAGAAAGTCAATGCAAAAAAAATTTAAAAAATGGATGCCTCCGTAATGACATGGGCACGTTGAAATCAAACACAACTAAGAGCTTCGTCGAAAAAAAATAAATTCAAGAGCATTTAAGAGGGTATCCTAATCATTAGTTCCACTGAGAATGTGTTGGGCAATAAGAGCGTTCAGGCAAATAAGACCTGCCATGGTGTGTCAACCAAAGGTACTTGATTCATTTCAAAGAGTCTATGACTCTGTTTGACATGATTTGGAGGACATTCAATACCTTTGATAGCTACAAAAGGATCACTAAAATGGCAGTAAACAGTATATTAACATTAATACTCTATAAACCATATTACTAAAAAATGTAGAAAGTTACATAACGAGAGCCTCAGGCCAATATTTAAGCAACCACTCGCATTAATTCAGACTTAATGCAACAAAAAAAATTAGGAAAAAAGGGGTGGTTTAGTGCACGAGACTCCCAAAATCACATACTTGTCCAATAGATAGGGTTCGCTATTTTGACTACGTTTTCCACGAATTGGACATCTGGTAATGCACAACCACCCTGTCGGTGGGAACCTAATCGTGGTAGCAGCTCTCAAACCAAGTCTTACTATCAATGTTCACTACAGTGCTGTTGCAGATCAGCTAAACAAAACTTCACCAAGTAGATACTAGATTCTCATAACCAGTATCTCAAGGCCAATTCCAAATTTGGATAAACACTTAAATATTGTCAAGCAATGAAGCCAGCAGCATAATCTCATAAACATTCACCAATATTTCAAGATATTTAAAAAATGATTCATTCCTATCAATCTTTGCAAAACCGCAAGGAAGACTAGATTAGCTTTTTCCACAATAATAACCACCCAAAGATTACCATATGTCATTTTCAGCCATTCTTTATCTCCTGGATCTTGTTCCATTGACCATAACAATTAATACATTTTATCCATCAAGAAAACAAGTTACACATTTGATTATCGTATCTTAAAAAACAAATCGAATAATACCATGACACAGGAAGCCGATTCATATATTGAATTTTTGCTCATTTGGACATCCCTGATTTAGAGACATCAATGTACAACGAAAAACAGAATAAATAAACCATTCCGGAGGAAAGGGAAGGCATACCAAGCTGATTAACCACATTGTTCCAGTATTTTACAATAAACCATAAAAGAGGGCTTTTATTTCCTGAGATGAGATCAAAAGCTACACTGGCGCTAAGAGGGAAAAAAACTTTCTATTATTTTTTGCAACAAATTCAGAAGTGCCCTTGTAGCTCACCTAATAAAACTGTCACTTAATTCTAGATTGAGACCAATACAAACAGGGAAAAGAAGAAAATACCGCCATAGTTGCACAAATTCCACCTATTTCAAATCATGATTTAAACAAGTACTCCTAGCTATACCCCCCCCCCCCCCCTAACTTTTATCAGGTGACAAACAAAACAAAATTTTCCCAAGGAAAATAAATTTTCATACAATCTTCAGCAGATCATTCAAAGATAAGCCATCCTCTCTGACATAACTTGGTTTACAAAATTAATACAGAAAACCCTAATTTATGTAGTTTCAACGCGCAATACTTACAAGCTGATACAACTTTTTGCGCGTAGATATACACATAATTCAAGATGAGAAGAAGAGAGGGGAGGATCACTTACGGAGATAAATAAGAACCATGGATCAAAGACTAGTTATGGTGTATGAATGAGCTTCACGCTGTTTATGTTACCAAAATTCGATCTTTCTGTGTTTAGAGAGAGAGAGAGAGAGAAACTTGACCCGGACAATTATCTTTGGGAAAGGCAAGCTCACGCAGTAACGCTTTGCCCCCTCGTAAGTTTCTTGTCTTCGAGTTACGATTGACTTTTAATTATTCGAAGCATTAACCGATACGTCGTCGTACTTGTTTTGTTTTTTATTTTTTATTTTTTATTTTCTGTTCATGTTTCTGTTTTGTTGATCCCATTAAGTAAAGATTTTTAGGTTTTTTCTGTTTGAGTATTTTTTATTCTTCTTTCTCAAATTGTCACCTTTGGAGAATGCATTAGGATATATTGACCGATAGGCAAAAAATTAATTAAAAGAAATAATAATACAAAAGAAAAATTAATTATATAAGTCAGTCAAAAATTATTGTAAACAATTTTGAAGCCTTAAATTCCTCTTCCTCCGGTCTAGTTTCAACCGGCCCCAACAATTAACACCTTCGTACTACAAGGTAGGGCTCTGCCCTTTTGCTAGAATTCATTTTGAGCTAGAGAAGCAGATTGTATTATTGCGATGGAAAAATGGAAAAATAGAAAGTTGAAAGGATAAATAAAATGTTATATTTTGTAAGAAAAGAAAACAAAAAGGATGAAAAAATAGATGTATTAACTTTCATTCCAACTCACCAAAATTAATCCTACTAAAATCGAAAGAAAAGTGGATGAAAAATTTAATTATTTGTGTTGAGATGTATCGTATTTGTCTATATATATATTATTATATATATATATATATATATATATATATATATATATATATAATTTCATATAAAAATGATAAAATATGTATTTATATATATATATATTAAAAAAGTTTAAAAATAAAAGTTTTAAATTAAAAAAAATATTTTTTTCATCTTAACTCGAGGTGAAAATTTTCGACTCAATACAATAACAAGACTCGAACTCGATGCAAATTTTATGACACGAATTTAATTATAACTCGACACGAACTTGCAAATGACTTAACATGCGAACAAGAAATATAAAAAGGCTCATAATTTTATAACTTAATACGAATTTGACACGACACGACTCGATTATCACTCCAATTTTAGCTAGCACAAAAAAAAATTAGTTATTTTTATTTTCTATCCATCCAACCAAACACAAAAGAAAAAAAGTGTATCATTCATACTTTTCATTCTTGAAAGATAAAAAGTGTATCTTTTTTATTTTTTATTCCTCCGACTTTTTATCCTTCTTAAAAAAAAAAAAGCATAACACCCCAGTTCTTCACGACATGTTACTAATAACGTCTCACATCTCACGAACACATTATTGATAGTTTTAATACAAACTTGTCACAACACTTTTGATGCTCACACAATACATAATAAGTGTAACCGTCGAATTACAAAAAAATAAACTCTAATAGGTGTTACAAACTTGTATAGAATAGGTATTAAATTATTGACATATCTATATAATAAAATAGAACGAAGTTTGAATTCAAAAATAAAGAGAGGTTCAGATCGTTTTGAGACAAAATATAAATATATTCGACGAATAACATAATTTCAACGTATAAGACGATTAAAATTATTTCAAAAATTATGATGTAACAGTCAATAATGAGTCTTTCTTTCTCGCCCACAAAGAAATCT